AGGATCATAAGATGTAGAGTTTGAAGGTAACGGAGAAATTATCTAGTGAGATACCCTCATTTTTACTGATCAGGAAACTAAGGCCAAGAAGGATTAAGAATTTTGTCCAAAGTCATGCAGGTAAGTAGCACAGCTGGAATTCAAACCCAGGTCCTCTGATTCCATATCTTTCAATTTTATACTAATTCTATATTAATGTTCCCACAGATCACCAAATTAAAAGCACTACAAGAACATGGCTGGCCACCTCCCAAACCAAAAATAGTCCTTGGGTCTCTTATGCTTACTATTCCTCTTCTTCTCATTTGCTAAAAGGAATGGGAGAAGGTAGAGAGAACTATAACAGATTAGAAGTTCCAGCAAATATCAACATATTGACAACCAGGATATATGCTTGTAAGAAGGACGAATTAAAGAAATGCTACAGTCTATTCTGGGTTAAAAAAAAATAACCAAATGAAAATCAGTCATGAGGTTAGTTGTTAAACTAACTTTTTGGGTTCCATGGTTACTCATGGTTACCTCTAGGTTTTTGGGAGAATGGGACTGAAATAGGGAGAGATTAAGTTGGAATAATAGGTTTTGCATTTATTACTTTGGGTTTAGGTTAAGAAAACTTAAGAAAATAAGTTTTAACAAAAGGAAAGTGCCAGAGATGAAAAGAAACAGATGGAAAACATCCACCATTATCCAGAAGCAGCTGAAACCATGAAAAATAAAAAGGTTTCCCAAGGAAATACACAATACTAAAATAAAGAACAAAACCAAAATCCAGTCATTTCTTCATGGAAAAATGAAGCATAAACTCTAAAAAAAAAGTTTCTAAAAATAAAGGAAAGGGTTATTTTGCTAATTCCATGGGGGGAATACACAGATAGAAGAAATAATGATAACTTGAAACAGTAACTGAAAATAGAGCTAGCCAAAAGTTCTCAGAAACTAAGAGCTAGAAATAATTAAAATGAATTCATAAAGTACTAATGAAGGGCATATGGATTTTTTAATTAAGGAGAATGAGATGCAAAAATTCAAGTTCACACTAAGTATAGCTCTAAAAGGAAATACAAAATAACAAAATTAGTTAATTAGAAAAATGAGTTAAATTTTTTTCAAGTACACAAAAGAGAAAAGAAGGAACTATTAAATCAAGATGGAAGATATCAAACTCATTTAAGGTGTGTATTTTTCCTAGAATTTTTCATTTTGTAGAATGTGAATAACTAAGGAGAAATCAATAAATGAATATAGTATCGTACTTGAAAAAAAGGACAAATACACAAAATCATATCTATTTCACGTGCATCTTAATTTTAAACCTCTTGTTCTTTTCGAAGTACAGGGCCATGTAGCTGAAAACAACATAAATGGCATGGAGAATCAGAAAATAAAATCTTGAAACTGTAAATGACAATTCCTGAATTTTTCTTTTTTCTCAAGAGTTACAGACTTTAAAGTTCGAAGGAACTTAGAAATCATCTAATCTAATACTCTTATTTTATAAACTAGAAACCAGGGCACAGGGAAGTTACTTGTCATTTTAATACAGGTGGTAAATAAGAGGCAAACAAATTGAAAGCCAGACCCTCTGGCCCCAAATCCAATGCTCTAGTCATCATACCATGAAACCTTCAGTCAAGTCACTCAATATGCTCTTAAAGGAAAATAAAGTCTCACTCATTGGATTTTAAGGCATATGTACCTGAAGAGGCATGTAGACATTATGTAATTTCATAAAATGAAAATTGCAGGTTCAGATATATTTATTTTGAATCAAGTAACAAAAAAAATTTATCAAAATAATTCAGAAAAATGGGAAATGATCAGGAGGCATTGTCCAACATTAATTTCAATTATAATACCTGTATTAATAATTTGGAAGAGTGACTTAATAACTAATTAATGCAACAGAGGAATGGCAAATATTATTAAGAGAAGATGTACCAGGCAACTTAGCTGGGTTAAAAATAACTGAAATCCAATTTGGAAACATCAGAATAATAATCTAGAAGAGAAGTGATCATTTGGGCAGGGAAAACCAAGAATGCAGTAATATGAAAAAAAGTGAGTGGGAAGAAAATTAGAACTGAGTCTGTATAATCACATCACCAAAAGCCAAGAACATATTGTTCATACTCCAGAACGTAAATGACAGTCTGGATCTTTTTCTATTTCTCTGCCAAGATGATGCTGGGAATACCATACCCAATTTGAGGTACTGCAGGACCAAAAATATGAACACAAAATGTTCAGGAGAGCAAAAACAACTAAAAGGCAAGACAGAAGACTTCTTTTGAGAACAATATATGGCTTAACTTTCCATAATTCTGTTCTTATTTTATGTAAATAGAACTAGATAGAACTGGAACTCTGATCAATGGCTGCAGGTTTTCTGTTTACATAAGTTATTACAGACTCCTATCAGTTTCAACTCATGTAGGAAACTTTTCATTAGGCCTCAGTATCCTATAGTCAACCTAATAATATATAAGGTATGAAGATTCAAAGAATCTTTTTCTAAAAGGAAGGTTTAAAAATATCCTTTTACTTCCAAACTTTCCATTGCCTCTCATCTTATAGCTTTCCCTTTTACATAGCAAGACTCGACTACCTTTGCCCATTCATATTATAAATTTTTTTCAAACCAATTATTTACCAGTCAATTAACATTTAAGTGCCTACTATATACTAGGTACTGTTAGGTGCTAGGGGATACAAAGACAAAAGCGAAACAACCCAGGCCCTCATGGGGCTTGTACTCTATAAAGAGAGACCACATGTAAGTACATACCAAATATGAAAAAGGTAAATACAAGATAATTTTAAGGGAAAAAATATCAATAGCAATATCTATCAGGTAAGGCCTGATATAGAAGGTGATGCTTGAGCTGAGCTCTGAGGGAAGTCAAAAATCAAAAAACTTTTATTAAGAGCTTACTATGTGTCAGGCACTGTACTAAGTGCTGGGTATACAAATTCAAAAAAACCCACCACTGCCCTCAAGAAGCTTACACTCTAATGAGGGAAGACAAAACACAAAAAGAAGTTGAAAGGGGTTGCAAGGTAGGTAGGGGCATGGTGGAGAAATCAGAGAAGTCTCAAGGTAGGACAGCCAGGTGAGAAATGAGCTATCTGAGCTGATCTCTCTGCTTAAATGGAAGTATGCAGTTCATGGTCCCACCCTCCAATGGGAGAGGAAGAGGGTAGGGCTGAGGGAGAACACCAAGGCAGAAGGATGATGAGGATATCCTAATAATGAACTTCCTGGGGCAGGGTAGAGAAGTCCCCAAGTAGGGTAGCCAGGTATGAAAACAGGAGAGGATTCTAAATGAGAAAGCTAGAGATTCAGAGACGCAGAGTGGAGAAGAGACTGTATTCTAGGAATAAGGGACAGCTAGTATAAAGACAGTGACAAGGGGATGGAATGTTGTGCGTGACCAAGAGCAAGAAAGCCATTTGGCTTGACCAAAGAGTATAGGAAGCGCAATAATGGGTAATAAGCCTGGAAATACGTGGTGAGCCCAGGGTGAAGGGCTTTCAATGTCAAATAGAAGAACGTACATCTGATCTTGGAGGGAACAGAAAGTCCCTGGAGCTTCCTGAGCAGAGAAGTGACATGGTCAATCTTTTGCTTATGGAATATGACTTTGGCAACCGTGGACTGCCAAAGGGGAGCCTCTTGAGCCATCTGTTTCATCTATTTCAAGATAAATTTCAAGCTACGTCTCTGTAACTATGGCATAATCCCGTGTACAATATGAAACGTTCACTTTTACACTTTCTGTCTGCCAAGAAATGGTACTATGAATACCTATACCACAACAATAATTAAGGCATTAAAGCTAATCATTACTTAGCATTACAACTCAGAAAAACTATTACAATTTACCACACTGGTAAAAGTTACATTCTCCCCCCAAAATGGCAATTTACTGAACTGATTTTAAACAGCTTATAGTAATTTATAGGCTATTAATTGCTATAAGGATATGATTTTTTAAAGATGAAATTTTTTACATCATATGAGAATTCATCACAACTCCCCACTATCTTGAAATCTTTGATAAGAAATGGGATGAAATCACAGATTTTACTTTCAGAAGACAAACAGATCATTTTTTCTAATTTACTATATGAAAGTGTGTTATGTTGTACTAGGTAGCACACACTCTACTTTCGCAGTAATGGTTTAAATTCAATGTAGACAAGAAAAGTAGAAGATAGTGAAAATGAACTTAAATTCATAGCAACAACAGAAGATATTCCCTTTAATGCTTAGTATTCCAAAAACTCATGTATCTGAATCATAAAAGTAGCTATATGGTTAATACATCATGTAAAAAAGACTTCTTTTTCCCAGACAGCCCCTTCTCTCTTTGACAGGACCGGTTAAGATGGATTAGTACATAATAACAAAAATGTAACACTAGAACATTCCTGAAGTTTAAGCAGTAATTGTTAACATTTAGCACTCTGTTGCTAAAAAAACAAACAAAAAAACCCATCTATTCCTGATAAGAAAACACATGAGATATGCTTTATATGTAGGCTGACCCTACAATAGCAGAATCCAAAGCACAAAGATTTTTTTCAATCACCTTAGAAGACGCATTTTGTAGTATATGCTACTCGGTTTGTTCCATGTTTATGCCCAGAATACTAAAATATAAACCCCAATTCTTTCATGAATTTCTCTACATTCATTAGATTGTAAGCTCCTCATTAGTTATACAAACTGAGCTCCTTAAAGGAAGGAGCTGTCTTTGCCTCTTTTTGTATCCCCAGCCCTTAGCACAGTGCCTGGAACACAGTAAGTACTTAATAAATGTTTACTGCTTGACAGATTCTATCATAACAAGAAAAGGCCAAACAAAGAATGGCATGAAAAAAAATGACTGGTTGAATGTTAGGCCTTGATAATGTCCTTTTAAAGAAATTACAGTGCCAAACTTATAAAGCTAAATAACATTTTTAAGAGTAGCATTAATTTCACTCTCCCTTACCTGATGAGCTCTCTGTAAAGACTGTTAATGTCTGTCCTCCCACGCTTTGCAAGAGAAATGGATGTTCTCTGGGAGCACTGACAGAAGCAGGTTTTCCACCAATATCATGGATATTTGCAAGCTCCTCATTCAAAGTAAAAGATACCTAGCAGATAATTAACCAAAGTCTATTAATTACTTAACTTTTTACTATGAACTATCTATGCTTAAATTTTAATTACATATTTCATTTTCCAAATTAGTGATCTTTTTAGAATTATATTGAAAACTCTCCAACAAACACATTATAAAACCAACTATAGTAAGAAGCTATCCTAATATGCAAAAATGATACAGCTAACTTATTAAGAAAAGGTTGCATTTCCAATAGTTATATAGTTATACCCTCAATATTTGTTGGTTTTTTTTCCCCAGCCAAAGACAAGGTTTATTAAAGATCCGCCATTCTGGCCAGACTCTTAAGGAATCTGAACCTTTGTGAGCTATTGGCTAGACTGTAAGAATCTGAACAACTTAATGGAGGCAAGATGAATCTTATATACAGAAAGACTGTGGGAGGGATCTAGGAATGGCCAAGTAATCTGGGGTGACTGGAAGAGGGGTCTAAGGATGATCTGGATGGGAGTGGTCAGTGAACAGAGTGCCAGGGACCTGGACCATGTGGCCAAGGGACAACAGAGTTTAGATAGGATTAAGGTATAGCCTCAATGTTAACAAAACATATGCCGACACTAAGAGTTTCTGATCCATATTAAATGTTCTGGACATAATTATATTTTAAGCTTGATTCAAACCCCACTAATAATTACTAAATGATTTAATTCCCCTAAATATTTCTGTAAATATCAAATACTTGCCACAGGACTATAGGTTAGAATTGGGAGACTGTTTTCTTTCAGAAGAATTCTCTTCTAGACTCTTTACCCAAATGAACACCACATTTTATATCAAAAGGATTTATAAATACTGGCTTTCTGATCTTCACTATACTCAAGATATTTGGAAAGCTAGTATGAAATACTTACTGAGTAGCTATGTGCTAAACCATCAGAGTGTTCAACATTATGGATAACAATTAAAGTCTGAAAAAAACTAAACCAAATATTCTCTTCACTCTGACTTTTAATACTACACAATCCATGGTGTCCAGCCCAAAGAAGACAAATACAATACTAATAAAAAGAATAGACAACCAGGCAGTTGATCAAGCATAAAGTCAGAGAACCGATGCTGATGAGTTCTCCAGAATGAAAACCTTTCTTTACCCTATAATTACTACCATATAAGATAAATACTTCTTTCATGTGTTAAAAAGAACTAAAATTACAAATATAAATCAACTTACCTCAGTCCTTCCTTGATTCCTGGAGAAGGGGAAAAAGAAGACATATTTTAAAACAGGGAAAGTCTAAATTTTCTGGAATGATCTTTTACAAATTATGATAGTTTACATTTGAATAGCACTTTTCAATTCATTCTCCTACTCTGAAAAAAAAATATACAGAAAGCAACCCTATATTCCTTTCCTTACTATCCCAATAATACTCTATTTGCTTGTTAGCCAAAGACCAGAAAATCCTGTAGAAAAAATATACAACATGTTTACATATAAGACGGAAATCACAGCCAGGTTTATTAGAAAGTTGGATGAGTAACCTCACACCCTATCATCTCGTCAGGAGGTAATCTCTGTCTTGCCATTTCCTTCTGCAGCTCACTTTACAGAAGAGGAATTGAGGCCAACAGGGATAAGTGACTTACCCAGGATCCCACAGCTAGTAAGCATCTGAGGCTGGATTCCAAGATTCCTGATTCTAAGCCCTATGCTCTATACATTGTGCCACATAGCTGCCCCAAGGCTGGATAACAAATCTGTAATGTAGCTTGGTAATATAATTATGAGACTTCCTTCAATTTCATCCAGTTGTCCTTCAGCAGAAGCTGGGGAGGCAGATTAAGCATAGGAGTAATCCAAGGCTCAGGTCTGGCAAGAAGAGAGTGACAAGGACAAGGAAGACAAGAGGTTTAAGATCAGAGGAAAGGGTAAAGCTGAAATGACTAACTATTGAACTGAAGTTGGAAAGGAAAGGGAGTGAAATTAGGAGCAGAGGGACTGGCCCGCCCAATTCCTGAAAGGTTGAATGGAGGTCTCAAGGAGGGCAAAGAACAGGTAGAGGCAAGGTGCACCATGGAGAGAAGTTAGGGTCAAATAGGGGAATATCAGAATTCCTAATTAGAGAAGCGGAAGGTAATGGCAAGATCGAGCATGTGAACATCCCTGTAACTGGCTGAGATGGAGTAAAGGATCAAGTCCTTAATGACCCCTGGAGGTTAAGTGCTATTATTATCCCCATTTTAAAACTGACTTAAGGAGATAAAAGAAATGGGAGGCTAGTAAGTTTGAGGGAACATCTACATCAGACCTGTACAACCTGCCAGTAGGTAGGGACCAAAACAGGCTAAACTTCTTCGGGCCGCAGACAGGTTTTTAGCAGCTCGCTTTCCAAGTAAAGGCAGAGACGGACTGGTTGGCTGCTGTGGGTCACATGACAAACAGGAGAGAGTGCAGATGATCTGAAATCCTAAATGCCCACAGGCTGTTATGTTGTGCAGGCCTGATTTATATGGATATTAAAATCCCCTTGTATAAAGGCAGGAATTGGGTAGGAAGATGATGAGCTCAGTGCTGAGAAAGAAGGAAGCCTGACGGAAGGAGTTGGTCTATTACATCTACCGAAATCTATTTATGAAATACAGTCCTCAGATTCTCTGAAATCTGGTTTCAAGCAACCTGTCTAGAGGCAGGACAAATATCACACTAAGCTTTTCCTATATTCTACGTTCCAGCTAACTAATTCTCTCTCCTCTATTCTTGCTTTGCCCTCTCCCTTCTCTGTGCCTATACTCACTGATTCCTCAGGCATGGACTAGACTGGATATTTTCCTCCTTTTCCTCAATGCTAGCCTCAGATGGTATTTCCAAGTAGCATTTCTGAGCCCTCCCTGCTTCAGGGGACTAGTAATTTGATCTCAAATTTCCAAAACATAGCCTGAATAAGCCCTTAGTATTTCTCTCTCCTTTTCCCTCTTATCATAGTCACTCATTTATATACTTGTCCTTTTCCCCAAGAGATCATAAGTTCCTTGAAAGCAGAATCTAGTTATATACCATTACCTCAGGAATTCCTAGAACACAGTAGGTGCTCAATAAAATTTTATTTAATTGAATTGTATTTCACTTGTCAATGGTACAATCTGTTCCTAACAGAATCTGACTACAAATCCTATTATTATGATTTTAAATATCACACAGAGGCATTGAAAAACAAGTTAATAACTTCCTGGACTGTAATTTAAAACTGTCTAACAACTTTTGGAATACCCTGTGCAGTTAAGAAAAAGGCCATGAGATACAAAAAACAAAAATGAGGACTGAGGGACCTCCTAGATATGAGGAAGGACAGGGACTATTGTGAAACTGAAATTTGTATGAATTTGTAATGCAGCTGAGATGATGGAAATTTTCTTTAACTTTCTCCAGTTCCGGCAATCCAGAAATAAAAGCAGAAACAGTCAATGACAGAGCTTACACAGGATTGAGAGTTGGTTAAAAATGATTATAGCAGAAAGACAAGAGCATGACATTTAAGGTGTTAGGGGGAACATTACAGGAATTACATACTGGGAGATCCAGGTAGTGTAGGGAGGAAACAGATAAAGAAATACATAGCAATCTATGGGAATTCATAGATGTGTAGAGGGCCTAGAAATCAAGATGAAGGCAAAGAAGAATAGTAGGAGAATGAATGGGCCAGATGGAAAGATAAGCTGCTGTGGTCAACAATGACATACAAAATGTTAAAAAGACACACAAAAAGGAATTATAAACATACCACCATTTGGCCAAAACTATATTAGAGTTAGATTGTACTGGTGTCAAATGAAGTGATTTCCAAGAAGCTATGCCTGCTGGATATATAAGACCTCTAGAATTTTGAGGCAAATGGCATGTTTTATATAAAATAGAGCTTTATCTTCCTAAGAGAACAAGTCAAAATACTGAATAAAAATGAGCTATAAAACTTGTATATAATCAAAGTTCATTAATTCAATCTTGTTTTTCCCATAAGGAAATTTGCCTTTTTTTTTTTTTTTTATGGGGGACTCTTAGGCACACTTTTTTCTAAGGCTCGTTATAGTGGAAAGAGATCATTCAAACTGACTGAGCAATTGAGAAAGCAGCCTGCAGAATGAAGAAAACCTTGTGGATTTAGATGTCACTAAATCTATCCAAGTCCTTGGTATGATTACTTGTAAACTAGGGGAATCGGGCTACATGACCTCTTCAGTACAAAAGTTCTGAGTCTGTAATTTTATAATAACTTAAGTAAGGTCAGTTAGGGCAGATAGGTGGTGCAGTGGATGGAACACTGGGTGTGGAGTCAGGAAGACTCACCTCCTTGAGTTCAAATCTGGCCTTAGACAGTTACTAGCTGTGTGATCGTGGGGAAGTCACTTTATCCTGTTTGCCGTAGTTTCCTCATCTGTAAAATAAGCTAAAAAAGGAAATGGCAAACCACTCCAGTATCTTTGCTAAGAAAACCTCAAATGGGGTCACGAAGAGTGAGACATGAATGAAAACAACTGAACAAGTGAGGCCAAGATGATCTACCTTCATATTATCTACAAATCAACATACAACATTTGTTAAGGGTATATTATGTATGTGGCACTGTAAGAGAAGACAGGAATACAAAGAAATAAACCAGTTCCTTTCCTAAACTAGTTTATATTCTATTAGGACAGCCAACAAAGTGGATCATACCTATAAGACAGTGCAGTGGAGAGAGTGCTGGGCTTAGAGTCCAAAAGACCTGAGGTTCAAATATAACCTCAGACACTTATTAGTTGTGTTACCCTGGGCAAGTCTCTCTGCCTCAGCTCCTCTATGTGAATGTGGATAACAGCAAGTACCTATTTCCTAGTTATGAGTATAGAATGATACATGCAAACCTTAAAGTACTATTTAAATCTTAGCTATTATTCATGAAGAATGTGTTAGGAGCTCAATTTTTAAGGAAACTAGGTATTCCAAGAGATAGAAGCCAGAAGAGAGTGCATCATGGACAAGGACAACCTATGAAAAAGCAGAGAAACAGGACGTGGAGGGTCAATATGAGGAATAAGAAGGTCAGTATGGCTGAACCAAAAACTGCATGAAGGAGACATAAGGCTGGCAAAGTAAGCTGCAGCCAGGATAGGAAGGACTTTAAATACCAAACAGAAGAGTTTGTATTTGAGTCCTTAAGGTAACAGGGAGCCACTGGAGTTTACTGAAAAAGGGAATAAAGAAAATGAATTAACAACAATTTAGTGGTTTCATATATTATAGCTATCTAACAATAAGATATTTTAAAACACTTTATCAATCTTCTTAAGAGGCTAGTTACAAGATTGGTTTTTTGGGTTTTTTTTTAAGGAAATTGGGGTTAAGCGACTTGCCCAGGGTCACACAGCTAGTAAGTGACAAGTGTTTGGTCTGAGGCCAGATTTGAACTCAGGTCCTCCTGACTTCAGGGCCAGTGCTCTAGCTACTGCGCCACCTCGCTGCCCCCCAAGATTGGGTTTTTTGAAGGGAGATTATGGGAAGAGAAGAGATGCTGGGTCCAAATCTATTCTTCCCTTTGCTCCCAGTGGAAAATCTCCCTCTCTCAATGCAGACTGACACCTAATCTTCAATTCAGTCTTACAGAGTCGCTAGGGACCCAGAGAAATAAAAGTGACTTTACCCAGGGTCACAAAGACAGTGTGGTCAGGAGCAGGAAACAAAGCGAAGCTGTATTGCCTCTGAGACAGGCTCACTATCCACTAGGCTATGCAAACACTTTTTATCTAAAAGAGGCTCATCTTCTATTTGACAAGACTCTTAGTTTCAATACCATATATATTTAAAAGTAATGGTTGGCTACATTTCTTTAAAACTATATGGTGCTTAAAGCTTGTTACTATGCTACTCTAGTAGGCCAGTTCCAGTTAGGGGAAGGGAACAAGCATTCATTCAACACCTACTGGATGCAAGGGACTGTGCTAAGTGCTTTATAAATATTATCTCATTTGTTCCTCACAATGATCCCTGGAGGTTAAGTGCTATTATTATCCCCATTTTAAAATTGAGGAAACTGAGGCAGACAGAGGTTAAGTGACTTGTCCAGAGTCACACAGCTAGTAATTGTGTCTGAGGCAAAATCTGAACTCAGGTCTTCCTGATACCTAGCTTAGCACTCTATCCACTGTGCCATCTTATAGGTATACTCACTTCTAAGAAAACCAATACATGAAAAATCTGAGCTTGATAATAAACACTGATATTTATGTAGCCCTTTAAAGTTTGCAAAAATTTTACGAAATAAAGGTGATAATTATTTACTTTACAAAAGCCCTCTTCACTTTATAAAAGGTAGCATCAGTGTGCTTCGAAATAAGGAGTTCTTCATGTGCATTAAAAGTATTCAGTTCACAAAATTAGGTTTATATACAGTTTTCCTGGGACATTTCTATTACATAAAGTAATAACCATTACACAGGGCTGTTTTAAGAATTAAACGAGCTGAAGTACTTGAAAGCTCTTTGGAACGGTAAAGTGCTATACAAATTTAATGTACTGCTGTTGCAGTCTGCTGTGTGGTCTAGTTTGTTCTAGAGTTATGAAAACCAAGTTCTAACATAGTTCTACTATCACCTGGGCAAGTCATAAAATTTGTTTCCCAGTTTTATGTGCAAAAAAAGCTATTACCTACCCTCATTCTCCTTAAAGGATTTCTAGGGACAGGTCTAATAAAAGAAGAAACGAAAATGTTTTTGAAGTAAACACAACTACTATCAAATATTACCATCAGGCACATTAATGATCTCATTTGTTTACTATTAAATAGCCTTGTTAAAAAATCACTAAGAAATTATAGAATCTATTTAGAATTAAAACAAACAAGAGAAAGATCACGCTATCAGGAGGTATACATGTAGGTTTAAAATGCAAAAGAATATCCAACCACCAAAAAACAAAAAAACAACATAAGATATGTCAAGAACTAAACATAGGACATGTCTAACCTATAAATCTGATACAAGGAACTGACCCATGTTAAAAAAAAAATCTCTGCAAAAGAACAAAGACAATCCCAAGTTTAGCAAATGAGCACCAAGTAATGGTGGGTGACTTAAGATAGCAAAGCATTTCTCAGACAATAACGGTGATTTTGAATCACCATCAAAACTGAAAGTATTGAAGACTTTATGAAAGAAATTATGCCACAATAACACAGATACCCTTCAATATCTGAGATGATTTACTCCCCTTCAATATGCTTTAATATGTGTTTCTGTTAGCCACACGGTAGAAATGTCTTAGCAGTCTCTTGCACAGCCTTATTTCACAGAATCAAATGATCTCAGAGTTGGAAAGGCCTTACTCACAAGTAATCCAGTCCAATTTTTCATGGCTTTCCATTTATATTTCAATCACGCAACAGTGTTTGCTGTATTGCTGTGCTGTGCATTATTTATAAATGTATTTACAATATGATTATAAATTTTTCCAAATAATACCAAAACCCCATGTGAATCCACTTACTTTGCAATTCTCAGCTTTCCTACTTCTCCTCTTCCTGAAGCTTTGGCCCACTGCTGAGACAAGTACTTAGGAACCTAAAACAAAATATGAAACATACAAGCAATCAATAAATTTATGATGTTAATTAAAGAAAAAACATTTGCATTTAAATTACTTAGTCTACAATTGCTGTTTATTGTCAATCATCAAGTATTTATCAAGGTTCTACTATCTGCTCAACAACGTGGGGGGATGGATGCAATGATGACTATATCGGAATGACTAGATTTTCCCCAAAACTGGGACACACTACTTCACCAGGGAAATTTCTCTTTGAAAGCCTTGCCAAAAGTACATGATCTTTTCTGGAAATCTGTAATGTCCCACACTGTACAGTCACCACATATATAACACAGTGTCCCTGACCTCAAAGACTTTCTAACATAGCAGAACAATTTAATGCTAAACTATGCAGTTCTAATTATAAATGTAAAAGGAGTTCAGAGGAGGTTTCAGAAAGGAAGCAGAACTTGAGCTAGGCTTTAAAGGACGACACTTGAAAGCAGCCAGACCTGACTACTCAAATGCAAAAAGATTTTCTGCAGATAGAGAGTAGCCCATTAATTATTGGCAAGTGTGTCTTAATAAGTTACTTGGGGACAGGGAGCTTGTCTTTCATTAGCACATATCTGAAGTCCCTAGCACAGGCAGTCCTCTCTTTAAAAAATATGTTCCTAGAGACCATCTCTCAAAAGTAGAAAACCACAAGGCAAAATCCTAACAGTGCATCTGCCGGAACAGTGAATGAGTGGGCAAAATTGGTGGGAAGAGAATTATAGGCTTTGAATGGGTAGCAGCAAACCTAGAAGCAATAAAAAGTGTTAACTACTTATATTCCATCTACTTATATTCTGTCTTGTGCCCCAAAATGCTCAATAAATACTTGGTCTGATTGCTCATGAAGGGGAAGGGATATGTTTAGTCTATTTACTTAATCCCTGAACTCGAGCAAGCAAACCAATAGCATTTATTTTGGGCTAACAAGATTCTAGCTGTTTTAAAGAACCTAATTTGACATTGGAAGCCTTCTGGTTAGAAATTAAGTTATAGAAAGGACAAAATAATGAAAGAGAATGAACAGTAAACATTTCAGGACTGAGTTAATTTGTTAATTTTCATTTCCTAGGTACATCTATCTTCCCAGAAATCACTACCCCTTCACATGTGCATATGGCTTTGAGGTTTACCAAAGGCTCCCCCAGATGGAAACTACTGTTTAGGTTTAAGGTCCTTCCAATGTCTATGAGGAGACACTGCTTTTTTAATTTTCCTAATGTCTTGAGAAAAGCAGAATGGAGAGGTGTTGATGGAGGAATCCTAGAGTCAGAGAAGGAGCTTCCCATCACATTACCCTACACAGCCTGCCCCTTGAAATGCAAGAGTTGCAGGGAGAGAGAGCTATAGCAACAATTGCCACTCATGACTGTGACCAACATTTTAGGGACCCCTGGTTTGAAATTTCATGGATTTAACTTCATAGCTCTTATGTTGAAGGCAAGTTGCACAAACAAATTCTATGTGGTAGCAATACAAATACAGATGATTTCCTCAAAGGCTGTCTGGAATACGGAACCTGTTTTTGAAGAGAAACTATTTTATAAATAATGATTCCCAGGCTAGTTTACAAACATCTGCTTAATACACAGTATGGTGGAGATTTCATCTGAAAGGTTTGCTTGCAATGAAAAATTGTAGGAAAAAATGCTGTTTTAAATATATGGATATTTCAGCTACACTCTGCCCCTAAAGGGCTCTTGGAAATAGGGCTCCAGCCTACCTACCAGTCCACTCACAATACGGTATAAAACATATCAGATCAGTCTCTGATTAGATAGGAGACATACTGGCTGCCTGAAAAGGGACTAAGATGAAGTGGTACAAGTAACTTAAAATTCTAAATGGTGGTCCCTTCCAACACCCTCCTACCACCACCACCAACTATCTTCTCACAGTCTTATACTACTTGTTTCCACAGTTAGCTCTTCAAGATTGGAAGTCAAATGTAACAAGAAGCAGATTAAGATGAGGAATTCATGGAAAAAAGAATTTCTCTAGGCTTCTCCAAGCCCAAGATGGCACTCAGACTTCATCAATTTTCTCTCTTGAGGTATACAGCATTTCTCATCATAAGTCTTTTGGAACTGTCTTGGATCACTATATTGATTAGAATACCTAAGCTATTCACAGATGATCATCATATTATATAGTACAATGTTCTCCTGGTTCTGCTCACTATACTTCATATCAGTTCATATGTCTTCCCAGGTTTTTCTGAAACCATCCAGTTCATCATTTTTTTTATAGCACAACATCCAGTTTTTATAGCACAACAGTATTCCATCACAATCATATACCACAATTTGTTCAGCCATTCCTCAATTTCCAATTCTTTGCCACCACAAAAAGAGCTTCAATAAATCTTGTTGTTCATATAGGTGCAACAAAATTTTTCAACTAGCTTTATAAAAGGGGCAAGACATTAGCTTGTCTGATTAAAAAAAAACCAACAGAAAATACTTCAGTTTATATAAAGCAAGCATGTTTGCTTTCAAACAAAAACAGGCCCCTTTTCAAAGTCTATGAATGTCATAATTGAAAGATAGAGCATTTAAGTTTAGGAAAGGCTTCAGGTATGCTACTGAATGATCTTTTGAAATTAAGCAATATACTTCAAAAGCCATTTGAAACATATTTATTAAGCTATTAACCTGTGCTGCAACAGAAAGGAAACCAGTGTACTCTAAGGACAGGAAAGTATCCAACATATTTCTTTTGCAACGTGGCTAATATGGAAATGTTTTGCATGACTTCACATATACAATCGAAATCAAATTACTTGTCTTCTCAAGGAGGGGAAGGCACAGGAAGAAGGGAGAGAATTTGGAACTCAAAATTTTTAAAATTGATTGTTAATTTTTTTTTACATGTAACAGGATGAACACTAACTCTTTTCTCTCTCCCTGGACCTCTCCTCTAAGTTCCTATCCTATTCCCCAAATGCCTGCCAAACATTTCTACTTGGTTGGCCCCATCATCATCCCAAATTATGTATTTAAAAGAGAATTCATCTCCACTCCATTCCACCCCCATTTTGTGTATTATTTACTTGCCTATGAACAGTAGGGAGGAAGATGCAGAGTCCAGCCCATGCCTGGTGAATTATGAACGTAGGCACAGAGAAGGGACAGGGCAGAGCAATAATAGAGGAGGGAGAATTAGACAGTTCGACTGAAATGTAGAACACGGGAAAGGTCTATTGCGATATTTATCTTACCTCCAGGCAGGTTGCTTTGAGACAGATTTCAGAGACTCTTAATATCAGAATCTGAAGCATAGACTTTATTTCCTTTTTCCCTTTATTATTTAATATTCTTTTCTTCTTTTTAAATTTTGAGTTCCAAATTCTCTCCCTCCCTCCCTCTCATGCCTCCCTGACTCATTGAGAAAGCAAGCAAAATGCTATCAAAAACACATGTGAAATCATACAAAACATATTTCCATAACAGCCATAGTTGTTAAAAAAAAAAAAAAAGCAAGAAAGTTACGCTTTAATTTGTACTCGGGGTTCATCAGTTCTCTTTCTGGAGGTGGATAATATTTTTTTATCATGAATCCCCTGGAATTGTCTTGGATCACTGTACTGATCAGAGTAGCCAAGGCTCTTGCAGTTCATCATTACAACACTGCTGTTACTGTGCACAATGACCTTCCTTCTTATAGCACAACAGTACTCCATGATAATCATATACCGCATAATGTTCAGCCATTTCCCAAATGATGAGCATCCCCTAATTTCCAATTCTTCACCACCACAAAAAGCTGCTATAAATATTTTTGTATGTATAGGTTCTTTTCCTTTCCTTTGATCTTTCTGGGGTACAGACCTATTAGTGGTAATGCTGGGTCAAAAGGTATGCACATTTTATAGCCTTTTGGGCAGAGCTCCAAATTGTTCTCCAGAATGATTAGACTAGTTCATAACTCTACCAATAGTGTATTACTGTGCCTATTTTCCCTCAGAGATAGCTAGATTGCATAGTGGAGTCAGAGTTCAAATCAGGCCTCAGACACTAGCTGTGTGACCCTGGGAAAGTCATTTCACCCTGTATGCCTTGGTTTCCTCATCTGTAAAATGAGCTGAAGAAGAAAATGGCAAAGCACTCCAGTACCTTTGTCAAGAAAACCCCAAATGGGGTCACAAAGAGTTGGACATAACTGATACGACTGAACAACAGCAACAAAATTTCCAACCCCTCCAGCATTTGTCCTTTCTGATGTGTGGGAGGCGGTAGCCCAGAGATGTTTTAATTTGCATTTCTCTAAGCAATAGTGATTTAGAGCATTTTCTCATGACTATGGATAGCTTTAATTTCTTCATCTGAAAACTGCCTGTTCATATCCTTTGACTGAATGGTTATTTTCATAAATTTGATTCAGTTCCCTACATATTTGAGAAATGAGGCCTTTATCAGAGAAATTTGCTGCAAATTTTTTTATATTATTTCACGGTCTATGGCATGTTTTAGCAAAATGTAGTTCCCCTGACTATCTCTTTTAATCAGGTCTATTTTTGCTTTTGCTTTGTCTGAGATCAGGAATGCTACTCTGCCTTTTTTACTTCAGGTGAAGCATAATAGATTCTGCTCCAGCACTTTATTTTAACTGTGTCTTTTTGTTTCAAGTCAACATATTGTTGAATTCTGGTTTCTAATCCATTCTGCTATCCACTTCTGTTTTATGAGTGAGTTTACCCTGGTGTCAAAGACCTCTCCTGTCAACCTACTAAGTTGTTTTGGCTAGAAAAATATCTCACCCTGACCTTTTGTTGGCTCTGCCACCCCAAATTTGATTTGAGGTATTATTTTAAAATTCTTTGGAGGGGAATGTTGGGAAAGTTTATCTGGGTTGCAGCTTGTACTCTGCCATCTGGGCATCGTTCCCAACCCATAGACTTTATCTCTTAGATAGTTTTTGGTAGATATAATAGTCCAACTCCTTAGGTTACTCTCCCTTTTTCCCTCAGCACCTGACTCAT